GCTGCACATAGAACGCTTTAGTCAATCGAGCGTGAAAAATCTGTGAGTAATTAACGCGACATTACGAGACATACAACAGCTTATAGGAGCTAAAAAGATATTACAGAGTTTGTTATCTATTTAATTTACAATGATTTAGAAAGATAGCTATTCAAGAATTAAACATATTGCTGTTTTCCTAATTACGAAAGGAATTAAGTAGCGCTTATTACCCAGCTCAGCTGGATCTCACTTTGTTAGTGACATTAATTAACATATAAATAAAGACAGGAGAGACATAATTTTGAAACACTACTACGTTAAGAGTAAGAGGAAATAAAAACAAGTGCTATAAAATGCAAAATATACGTGATGCTAAAACATTGAAGATGTGAATGATTTTATCAAAGAGATGTAAATGGAAAAATTATTTCATTTGCAAATAATTGCTAAATTGCATATGAAATAATTTTGCCTTAATCTTTATAAACAACTTATAACATGATTCTCGGACGTGTTTTGTCACACTAAAGGAAGGCAGAAAGTTTACATAGTCAAAGTAAACATTTATGAATTTATTTTAGGAAGCAATCTGCTGTTTTCAGAACAAAACGATAACAACACAAACATAAAACTCTTTTCATGTAAAGATTGACGATATTTATGTTATTTTACTATTATGTTATGTTATATATTGTTTTATAATAGCATCTTTCTAATGATTTATTTTAGATTGAGTCTGTCGAATAAAATATCCTGAAGGAAACTAGACCAAAAAGTAGCAGATTGCTTTCTTGAATGAAATCGTGGTAAGACTCAACATTTTCGGGACTATTCAAGAAAAAACTTGACACACACACACACACACATACACACAAAATTCCTATATTTTTAATAAGTTTTGCCCAGTGAGAAATGACAATGAAACTGATGTCGCCGATTCGATATCGATTCCATTATCATTTCTCACTGGGTGTATTACAAATTAATTTTCTATGTTTTATGTATATAGTAGAGAATAAAAGGAGGCACCATGTAATTAGTTTTTTTAATGATATTGGCTGTGCGTTCGGAAACATCCGAGTGCCCTCGTGTATCATTTTATCCTTGTTGTTCACCCAACGTTAAATAAAGATAAGATGATACGAGAGCACTAGGGTGATGTTTCCGAATGCAGCCATACACGTGATATAACTAAATTTTGTGCAAATTTATTAGCTATATAGTGTTACCAATTATATTATAGGTAGAAGTTCTTTGGATAGAACAAGAACATAATTTACACATAAAAATGAAGAGGAAAAAAAGAATGAATTATATATAACTTATTTTTTTAAATAAGGGAAGATGATATGGAAGATTATTAACGCTAGTAATATAGTAACTATGTTCTGTTATTCACTGTGAATATAATATTATCGAAAATCTATGAATAGTAGAAGTTCACGTTACGTATATACTATTATATAAATTTTTAATACTTACAGTGAATAATGATAAGAAATCAGAAAGAATAACTTTACACGTCGGACATATGCACATATTTCCTTATTAAATTTAGTTCAATTATATTATTTGGAAGCCACATTCAATGTCTCTAAACTAGAAAGAAGTTATAAAATTAATATCAACATATTTCCAAAACGAGGTAAAGAATACGCATTTTTAAAATTGTGTAATGCTATGTAACCTAATATGCTTTTATGACAACGCAGTAAAATGACCAGTGGCTATGTTTATACGTCTAATTGTAAGCAGACCGTGAAGAAGGAATTTTGACGATCGCTCCCAGAATATAACGCAAACTGTATAAGATGTAATATTCCACAACCCCCTGTATTCCATAACTATCTCCTTTCCTCTAGTAAATAACGTCTAAATGAAAAGAACTGTATCCATTTATTTCTTTCCTTGAAATAAATTTTGCTTTCAATCTAATTATGCAAATCTTCTTATCCTCTTTTAAATTCTAATTCTCTGACAAGTCAAATAAATATACTTTCACTTACAAGACAGTAGCTTAAAACATCCTTTATTTTTACCTTTAAATAAATATATTACTGTATCGCTGGACATTTGCATGCCATTATATGGTGAAGAAAAATGTACTCGTACTGAGAAAAAGAAAACTTTTAATAACAATATTAACGAGATAAGAAATCAACGAATCGAATCGTGATAAAATTATACAACTGAAGGTTCGACGGTTCTCAACCGACTTTTTTTTCTCTTTATGATATTTTACTCGTCAGTAGCCAGCAACCCTTCTTCGCCGTAAAAATACGCAGATATCCGATGTTCGGTAATATAAAGAAAAAACGAATATACTGGATGTAAAAATACAAACGTGAAAAGAATTGTAACGAACAAGTAGCTCGTATGTCACATTCGGGACGTATTCGGAACGTATTTCGTTTCAGTGATATATTTGGCAGATTTTAATAATTCAAATTTGTCAATTAGGTATGATAAAACATGTCAGATTTTTTTAAGTAAAATATGACAATGTTCAATATATTCAACCACGAACAATGTAAGACAGCTTCTAGACTATTAGGAATAATCTCAGTAGCCGAGGTAAGTTGGCCGAGGTAAATGATCTAAAGTGCGATCTATGGTCGCGTAGGACGATCGTAAAATTTATAAATTGCTAATTTCTGTGCGTCAAAGTACAACATTGTAATCCCATGAGCGTAACATTTCACCCCTTAAACTATCGCGCGTGTTTCTCTTCGAACCTACGATTATTATCTATATTCAAGGAAGGATCGAACATGCGAAAAATCAATGTATGTACCGAGCGCGAGTACCTCGAAAAATAGATATGTTCTCGCTCCTGCAATGAAAAACGCGATAAAAAATAAATATACAGTAATAAAAAAATTTGAGAAGCGTCGATCAAAGAAAAATAAAAGTCATCGAATACAGAGAAGGGATGAGAGGGGAGAGGGGAGAGAGAGAGAGAGAGAGCGCTAGAAGTGGAAGTCAAATTAGAAGACACATAAACAAATATCGAATTCGTCGGTGTCCTTTTGAATTTGAATTGATGTCATAACGTAACACAATTAGATACTATAATAGAAAGAAAAACAATGATTTCCTCTTTCCGAATATAGGCGAAGAAGAAAAATGATTTCCAATAGAAAGTTACACTTGACGGATTTCCTGAATAATCATACTCTTTTTTTCTGATACGTTTTCTTTTTAATTTAAAGAAACAGTTTTATATTATTATTAGCGTTTTTATGAGTCTGATTTTTCTACAATCGTGTCGCGTTATGATGAGTGATATTATTCTCTTTCATTTTCTACTCTTAATAAAAGTTCGATTATATCTTAGTCTCGATGCAGCTTTTCATGAAATTATATTCATTAAAATAAAATAAATGTAAGATTCATTAATTGCAAAGCATTAAGAGGAACAATAACCAAATACGAGCAACAGTTGATAATAAATTTAAGAAATAATAAATAATTTATTCTCTAATAATTTGAAAAAACAAATTTAGGTATGTTTCGATATTTATCTCTTATTGTCACCATATTTGTACTATTTTAACATACATTTATTCTGTACTTTGTCTATTTGTTTATAATCTGTTCATTTTTAATTATTGTTAAAATCTCTTTAAAGTTACATTGTCAATGTCTTTATTATTATTTTTCTTTTGATTATTTAGTTTATCTAGATGATGAAAACTTACATAATCAAAACGTATATTTGTCTTTCTAAATATTAGAGAATAAATTATTTATGAGATTTTTTTTCTTAAATTTATTCTAAGTTTTGTCTTTTTATATTTTATTCTTTATTTTCTTCATTTTCGATTCTATAATGTTTATAGAGTGAAGAAGTTCGAATTGAAAAGTGAGATATACAAATAATAACTGTAAATAATATGTTTTTCAGCTATGTCTCTGTTCATGCATTTGCGTAGTTTTCGATGAACGTAATGCTTTTTTAAGTAATACAATATCCAGCAAAATTTCATTTCCTTTTCGTGCGATTACAATAATATTTTTATTAAATTACGTCCAATGAAAAGAGGAAAGAAATAAAATTGTAAATTTTTATTTCTAAAATTAAAAATAATTAAAAAAATATATACATTTTTATGCGTTGGAGTTACACTTTTATAAAATGTCCATTTAAAATTTTTTCTTTTACTTTCACACTTGCTCTTTTGGAATAAAATCTTTATCTGTAAATTTCACATACAGTGTAAAAAGTACAAAGAAAATTTTTATAAAAAAAGCCTTATTTATAGAAAATAAGTATTAATTAGCAATTTTATACAATTAGTACATTCTGTCCTAATATAAACAGAAAAGATTCGCGTGTTCTTGATCTTAGAAGAATTTTTCGATTGTACAAATACTTTCTGTGCATCCAAATAATACAATTTTTTATTTTCGCTTATTTTTAAGAAATAGATTTTAATTATCACACATCTTTTTGGGTAAAATAATTTTGAAATTTGAGGAATGTGAAATATAGAATCAATTTCATTCTTTGTCAATAAATTAATGTTTGCTTTTTAAAAATAAGTTTTTTAAAAAGGTATCTCCCCATATACGAATACTTTTTGCACTTACTGTGTATATATTTATATTATCTTATAACAGATTATTATAATTTCAAAAAATACACAGTGTTATTATTAATAAGACACACTTCGCATTACACCAAAGATTATGATTGTAAAATATAAAAAAATAAATTTCTAATATAACTTCCAGAAAATCAAATGCTAGAACATTCGTACATCTCACATTCCTATATTGGAAACAGATTTTGCGTAAAATGACGATTGGATATTGTTCTTTTATTATTAAAACGTTCTAAAAATATTGAAGACAAAGACAGAAATAAACGTTACAATTTTGGACAGGAAATGTCTGTTTTACACAGGTCGGAAGACGATGACGACATGTGTGATTCATACGATTTTGAACATCCGGTTCGTATTAGAAAATTTCGTGCCGGCTAAACTCGGAATGATCAACATTTCTTTACTCACCGGATAATCCTCGTTTTTAGGCGAATAATCGGGATAATCGATATTGGTAGTATCGTCATCCGTAGTACTCCTCTTTCCGATGAAACATCCAAAACTACCAGTAATTATCGATACCACAGCCACCACGACCAACGAAATGAAGCTAATGCCCATATTAACGGCGTGCGATCTTGAATCCTATCGCCGGATGTTACGTTGAAGCTACCTCAGCCTACGACATGCGGCGATTGAATTCCAGAAAGGAGAAATCGGCTCGTAACAATATCCGATCGCGCAAAAGATATCCCTTGACCCGAGGACCAGCCCTGATATCGGACACCGGAAGACAAGAATATCTCTCGATGTCACCGAGACGTCTGCTCGATCCCGGTCGATCGGGCGCGACGTGGCGTTCTTCGAGGTGGCGCCGATCCCTCGGCTCGGAGCTGGGAGCACCGACCGCCACTGGGGGTGTCGGGACTTCGACGAAGCTGAAGGACGTACGTCGGGGGATGCAATGTGACGCTGGCGGTGGGCAACCACGCTCCTATATACTTCGCTTCTGCACGCAGGCGCTCGCGCCGATACTTTCCCGGCGCGCGTAAGAAAGACGAAGACTCGCGCGAGGAGACCGACCGCGTGTCTATTTGAAGTGTCTTCTCCACTGTTGCGCTTCCGCCCGCGCCATGCCAGTACTTCAAGTTGGACAAGACTGGAGGGAGGGGGATTACTCTTACCTTCCTCAATGGAGGTATAATCGGTCTCTTTCTCAAAAACATACATGGCTTATATGAAGTTAATGAAGAAATCATGATAGCGCACAAGTTTTTTTTGTTTGTCTTCATTTATAATAGATGATAATTAAAGTTTTCATTTTCTTTGTGAGTCGCTTTGAAAAAGCGGCTTGCACGAAGTTAATGAAAAGATAAGTCGAATAGGAAGTTACTTGCTTATCTTCTTTAATTCTAAACTGCAACATTTCGAATGCGCTTACTGCACATTTTAACAAAAGTATAATGCGAGTGAAATGTTCCTTCTTTTGATTGCGTAATAAAACATCTCGCACAATGAAAAATTAATTAAATTATTATTACATTTATAAATTAATTAATGCTTACAAGTTAGAAAAAGAATTTAACAATCGCAAAATTAATGAATCGATATTCTCTTCCTTTCTTAAGAAAATAAAAAGCGCATACCTTGTTGTTACATACTTTAGTATGCATAAATATTGAGTTTTACACAGATAAAGCTACAATAACGAGACAAGTTGCGTAATAAAAATTTTTAACTTATTTTTCTAATAAAAAGTTATTAAAATATTTGTTTCCTTTTAAAGTAAATCGAACAATAAAGTAAAGTCAAACTAATCGAAATAAAAAATTAAAGTATTATTATTATTTTGTTTCGCTAAAAAAAGGTAAAGTAAATAATATATCTTCAGAAATTATGGTCTTTGTATTTTCAAGAAAAATAAAGTTTCATTGTAGAAATAAAATCTGTTTTATCTTTGTTTTTTCCCTAAATAAATAAATTTTCATAGATCAAAAATTAAGAAATTAAGAAATTATGAAAATATAAAGTTCATTGAGTTACAACGATTTACCATATTTAAGTTTATGCCTCACGTGATTCTTTTAATTTACAGTTCGCATTTCAACAGGTTCCTGACGGTTTAACAGGTGCAGTTAGGAATAAAAGCGTCGCATCGGGCTGGGGGAACAAAGTCGATGATTCAGTGAAGAAGATAACTCTAAAATGAAAATTCATTTCTACTTCTAGTGTTATAATTTATCACAGAATTATAGATTTTATAGAATTATTTATATATGTAAGTGATAAATTATAATGCATTCTCAGCGGAGTCACATTAAAATTAATTAATAATAATAAACTAAAGAAATATTCAAATAGGAAGCAATATGAAGTTTTATTAGTAACGTTTGACTAGTTTTTAAAGACTTTTTTAGAGATCCACAATGTATATACAATATGTGTGTGTATGCGTGTGTACATAAATATATAAAATTCAATTAATTCTATAAGTTTCTCGTAAAAACAAATAGCTCTTGGCCTATATTTATATCCCACTTTTATCGATAAATATGTGAATTTAATATATTGCTTTCTTACTTAAAGAGAGTAACATAAAAAAATTAGATTTTCCAGAAAAGAGAAAAACTATTTTCCAACTTAAGAAAAAGCTAATGATTAATTAAATAATCTTAGTAGAGAGAAAGAATATATTCCTAATATAATGAAATCTCGTTTTTGTAATTTTCGTTTCACAGCCTTTAAAAAATCATCCTTTTAAGTTGTGACGATTTTGACGATTTAAAAAAAGTACCCCTTGTGAATTGTAATTTTGATTTTGGTTATTTTTTAATAAAGTTCATTTTTTTATACTTGATAGAATAATATGTTTGACAGGAGATTACGTTTATTTAACTCATTCATGTTAATAACTTGAAAATTATCGGTTTTTAAGTTGTATCACTTTTAAAATAAGAGATATATTATGTTTATACATATAGTATAGAATCACGACATATACTGTAGAATCTCAGAAATAGATGGTACGCATTTTATCGATAAAAGTGAGGTGTGAATACGGATCTAACATCCATTGTTTAGATGGTTTATAAAATCTATGGACACAAAAAAGTTGAATTCAAATTATTCCAGAAAAAGCTGTAAAAGCGAATGAACAGAAACTTACAGAGACATTGCAAACATATGGAACATATGTACGATGCGAGAGAAATCAGAGAATATGTTTCTCCAGAAAGATTACAAAATTTTTCTACCATCGTGGGAAAGTTCTCGACGCGTATCCGTCTTTCATTAACGAGACGAACGTGGAGACGGAACGCGTCACTCGCAATTATCCACAAAATAGCCGACTTTTATCGACCACCGTCTTCAGTAGACTTATAACTGTGAGTGGGAGTTATTGCCTGTAGACGTGAGTAAGAATTCGAAAGCGCAACGACAAAGGTGAAACTGTAAAGGGGTTGAAGGTTGGCCATTTTTTAGAAATGTCAACGTTGTGACACAGTATGCTATATCGTGCATCTTCTCATCAGCCTTCTCGACTTGCTCCTTTTTCCCGTTCTCATCGAAATTATATACGAGAATCGGTGATTTTTCCCAGTCAGAGCTGTCTTTACCGGACGCGCACGCTCATTCTTCCGATAAAATATAAAAACGTTAAAGTCGTTTCCATTAGACAACGTAATCTACAAAAGAAGAATTATGAGAACTACTATCATTTCTGTAATCTTCTAAGATGATATAATTTATATTAATTTTAAAAATATTGTTTTATGTTAATTAGAATTAAGGAATATTAGCTCCACTTTTTATTGATTGTCTTTGTAATAAAAAGCAGAAGACAGACGCACATCAGGCATAAAATCATAGAATTATTATCAATTAGACGCTACTCTCATATGTATTCTTCCTAATATGTATATATTAGAATCAAATTAGACGTTATTATAATTGAAGATTATATCCCATATAAATGCAAGTATATTTGTATTTGAGTAGGTACTTCTAAAGTTTAGAGTCTACGACTGTCGCAAAATATCTCAGTATCCACGTTTTCCATTCGGAAGTGATGAAGCTGTTGAAAAATTGCAATTGCGAAAAGTATTTCATGACAAAAAGGAAAAACGATTTAATTAAAGGGCTGCCAGTGTCACGTACATCCGATAATTAACGACTAATAACTTTCGGCTTGTCGCCTCCTACATGACGAACGGTCGCTCGTTCGATTATTTTTAGAAATGTTATTCTCCAAGTTACATGTTGAAAAAAGTATTATCCTATATATACAATATTCTATTTTTTATAATTACATTGAAAACTTTTTTTCTTACAATTTTTCTCTCTTTTTTTCTTGCCGATTCTCATAAAATAATATTTTCATCAAAATCATACAAATTTTTAAGTATTACTGATAGATGCTACTGTGAATGTTAAATTGCTCATTACATGATTTGCGGCCATACGATTAATTAGCTAATCATAGCGGGATTAAATTTGAATTTCATTCATTTATACGTAGACGATTTATATATAGATACTAGTTTCGCTTTGAGAAGTTCATTACGTAAGCAATGAACCGTTATAAAAACTAAGCAACATCATTATTTATTTAACAACCTCATAATTTATAAATTTGAGTTATCTCTATCCCACATGCGTACACGATAGATGTTTTATTTTAACCGTGAGGTAATCGATATATGATCTGTTTCTTTGATTCTCACATCCGCAATATTCTATTATTTGCTATTTGAATATTTTTTAACCTATATGTATATTCAAATTGTGCCCATGGACAATTCGAAGTTTTTTTCTCCCAATGAAAAGTGCACTATTTGCGAAGAATTCGGTAGATATGAAACACTGTCGATAAACTAAAATTAACATGACATCAGTGTTATAATTTCGTATTTTATAATATAAATATAATATAACACATAGTGTTACGTAACAGTTACATTATAGAGTGCGGAATTATAATATTGACATTATGTTACTTTTAGTTTGTGTTAACTGGGTCGTTTCAATGCTGTCTGTGTTCTGAATGAGTCCATAAAGAATGCAGTGGAACTGATGACGCTGAGAATTAATTACATATGCGATTTTTGTTTAAATAATTAATTTTTCCAATTTTTGTATTATTTTTTCAAAATTTATATTAATTTTTTACTAACGTTGGCTTAATAAATATATTTCCTCATTTCTTTATCAACATTCCATGAAATATTTTATTCATTAATTTCATATGATTATTTCTTTGCGCGCAAAACGTACATTTATATAAACATTATTTATCAACTATTTTTACGTATAAAATGCACATAAAACGTATCTTTTGCTGTTTTAATTTTCCCTTTTTGCAATTTTTATTTGGTCGAATATAAAATTGTAATTTTCTCTCGGCGTGCCATACTTAGTCCCTAATATTTATTATTCCATTATATTATAATGGGAAACGTTAACGAAAGATATATATACTCGTATACAATTGCGATTGCTTCGTTAATTTGTAGGACAAATAATAATGAGATTTCATCACGTTTAACAATAAACCGATATATAGCTGCAAGGATAATATTTCAAAGAAAGTGATTAGTTCAAATTGAATAATTAATTCGTAT